CTCTAGAGAAGTGCGGACTCGCTTCTTGAACAGCAGTAATCGAGCCTATAAGAGAAACCCATTCCTTTCCTTCAAGGTCCAGTTGTATAAGGGGCGGATGACGCTATTCAACGGATCAATCGCTATTCAGCTTATAATTTATTTATTTTATTTTATTTACAAGATTTACCGACAGGCAGGGACACCGCAACAGCTTGCGCCAATCTCTGTGGGCCCAGTAACCCACCCATCCCACCCAGGGGAGGACATCCATCACAGTAATCTCGTGCGTGGGAAATTAACGTCTCCTACCCCTAACCCTGCAGAAGACAGGACCTCCATTTATTCGTCCCTATCCGAGAAGACTAGAATATCTAACCGTTTCTGGATATTATAGAAAGGAAGCATATTCTTCTCAATTATTTTAAGACCTTGAGTGTTGGTCCGGCCGGGGCTCGAACCTCGACCTCCCGCACAACACTCCAGCGCTCTATCCATGAGTTAACCGGGAGGCTAAGTGATAGCAAAACGCACTTCGCTATCCCCCGGATAAAGATTTACCCATTGGATAGCGTTATTCAACCTTCGAACAACCGGGGCCTGAACTGTCGCCAAGCTTCATTGAAGACCGAGCAATCAAATCTTTTGCCTTCCTATTTCTCATCCCACAACTCATAATATAGCTAGCCACTAGCATTTATATTTCACAAATATATGTTAACCTCGTCCTTCGTGCATGGTGCCTTCCTCAGTTGTTGTTGTTTTTTTAAGAAAAACGGTGCGAAATTAATAGATTACCTTTGGGAATTAACGCTTTATTCTGCCTACTCTCGCGGACTCCAGACAAATATGCGTGTAAGGAAAATTCGCGCCAATTTTCTGACGTACTCGTCAGTTATTGGGTGTTTTTTTGTCTTATACATATTCATGTTTGAGCGAAATTCTTTGTCAATCTAAGCAGGACCTGAATGGGCGAAGACGTGTTAAAACTGTTCTAGGAGAGTTTGTACCAGGAGTGTGCTTTATGCTTGAATTGGTTGAGGACTGGGACATTTCTCAACGTTATTTTAAACTAAGGTAAGCTTTGTTACTAGGAAATTGCTGGTTTAACCTCATTCCCAAACTGTTGTCAAAAATGGCCAAACTTTCTGAACACGCGTTCTTTCCGTTCGCTTTGAGCTTAGTCTTCGACTTGGTGCTCCTACAATTGCAGAAAAGTCATTTGCTTTGTTCGTAATTTCGACCGTCAGAAAGAACGCTAACGCTGTGATTTATGTTGAGAATAAAACATCTTAATTGTGAGGTTTCGAAATAGCATAGAAACACTTGAAAGTCCGAATACAATTCATGTGCAACGGAACCATGCGGGTTTCGTGTTTGGAAAGATTGCTTCCATAAAAGTGCAAAAGAGCTGTGGCGATGATATTTCACAGAGACGAGTTGAAAGAATTAGACAAACCTCTATGTTGCCACTGATAACTTAATTCAGCGTTTAAATATCTACTTGCAGGCAAAAATTAGCCGATCGACTAAATATTGTTTCGCTCATTTCTACTTACAGAAATCTGGTGTCAAGAAGACGAGCAACATGGAATTCAAGCTGCATTTACTGAGTCAAGAAGAGACTCTGCAAAGATAAGAATTTTGAAATGATTATTTTTGTAGTAATTTTTCAAATGGTACTTAATTTGCAGATGTACACTCAGGTAGAGCCTTCATAAGAACTTTTTGATTTGGAAAATTCTATTTAAAATTACTGATGAAAAGATTTCGATGAAAGAGTGCAGATCTAAGGACGTTTTCTGTTGTTTGGCATTTTTCCCAATCATGTTCACGGTAGTCAGAACAAATTAATTTTTCAGACTTAATTTGGTTGCTCAAGATTTGTCCTGTGTGTAACCTGCTGCAATGAGTACCACGACTTGTTATGGTGGATGCTTTTAAGGTGGCACTGACTAAAAGACGATTGATACTTTGAAGAAACAATTTGAATATCAAAACAGGCATAGCTCTTCCTGCTATAATTCGAAACATACCGACGCAATATATAGTTGACCTTTGTTGCAAAAGCGCAAGACGATTTGCCGTAACCAAAGAGAAAATTTCTGCTTTTTGTCAACTACAACTGAATTTTTCATCTCTAAAACTAAAATTTTAAACCGGGAACTCCATCCAAAATTTTGCCGATACAAAAGTCAGTGCCACCTGAAAGTACCTACTGATTTTCTTCACTAATTCGCTTGCAATTGATAAGAGAATACTGGCAACTAAAAATGTCTTCATAAGTTTCATTTTATTGGCGTTAAGACCGAGCTATTTACTTGCGACATGACGAGACACTTACGACTTTAATAAGGTTTCGTCGACGACGCACTTAACACAGCACACATTGACGACAAAGACGGTGAAATACATTCTGCCAGAGAAGTTTAAGACCTGAACAAATCATTTTTCACAATTCATTGAAACAACCAGGAGAACACATTACGAACAACGTTTTAAAGAAATCTGACCCATAGCGACAGATCACGTTACGATCATTGCACAAGTCATCTCACGGAAGCTACGGCTTTTAAAAATCTAACGGAACGAAGACCCCTAGTTTAAGACACAGTTATAATATTTCATTCGACGAATACAAATACTGAGCAATCTTTTATTTTTTATTTTTACAACGTTGACCTCACTC